TTCTTCGCTACATCAAAGGTATGCTTTACTATGGGTTAATCTATTCATCATCTAATGAATTCAAACTTGTTAGATATAATGACAGCGATTGGGACGGAGACACTGATGATAGCAAGAGTACGATTGGGTAGGTGTTCTACTTGGGTGACACTAAGAAGCAATCGATCATGGCGTTATCTACATGTGAAGTTGAATATGTTGCAACTACATCAAGTGTTTGCCATGTTATTTGGTTTAGAAACTTATTGAAGACGCTTGAAGTTTCACAAGAAGAACCGACCAAAATCCATGATAACAAATCAGCACTGGCATTAGCAAAGAATCCAGTATTCTACGATAGAAGCAAATACATTGATACAAGATATCACTTCATAAGAGAAAGCATTGCAAAGAAAGAAGTGCAGTTGAAATATGTAACCTTTTAGGAGCAGATCGTCGACATACTCACTAAGCCATTTAAGCATGATGTGTTCCGTAAGTTAAGAACTCTACTTAGAGTAGTAAAGTCAAGTTTAAGGGGGTATGTTGAGAAGTAAACTTGATTTTTGGACTAAGTAATATGGACTTAAAGATTTTGCTCATAGGCTCAATTCAATTAAAAAGCCCAACATGTCTTGTATTTCTAGAAACATTATCTAGAAAAAATCTATGAAAATATATATGTAAAAGATATGGTGATAAATGTGGTAATCTGTCAAAAAGATTGTGTGGTTTTATGAACTCTATAAAGAGTATTCTAAGAAAATATTTTGTCCAAATATGTGATCTAAAAGTCTCATATAAATATGTGGTCTAGGAGTCTCTAGTAAAATATGTAGACTAATGTTTCATGTAAACACTATATAAAGGGGTAGGGTCTTCTATTTTGTAACAAGCCAAGTGTGTAAGTTTTGGAGTTTAGAAATACAAGTTTTCTAATATTCACTTGATTCTTCCTAATAGTTTCGTCCTTCTATCAAGCCTTAGCCAATCGAATTTAGTAAACCTCTCTTTCCTCCAACAGCTAAAAGATCGTTTCACAGGAAGTAACTTTGAAAAAATGAAGAGTCATTTCTCTTTATTTTAAGTTGATTTGTAAACCATAAAGAAATAAAAATAAATAAATGCACAAGAGAATGCTAAAATTTAAAGTGTGAACCCTTGTCATTAGTCAGCTCGTACTTCCCTTATTATAATAAGATGTTCAACACATTTATATTTTATTAGATGAAAGGAATTTGTTTGATAATAGACGATCACTGTCCAAATTACTCAATGAACGCTCATATTGGGATCAACATTCCATCAACACCAACTGACTCGTACATATTAAAAACAGGGATGTCGTCAAGCTTAAAGACACGCGTATCTCCGATACAAAGATTTTTTGACCTTATATATGCAGCCCATCTTTCCGTGAAACAACGAACAACACAACATTTCTTTGGATTTGTGTTATATCTCACACATTGTCTAGGTTATCATGGAATTTAATAAATCTTAAAAATCTCGATAAATGCCTCCGTGCAAAATACCATGGATAGTTTTCAGCCACCCTGTCAAAATTTTTTAACATCAGCGATTATAGATTATTAAAATAAGTGATCACAACAAATTTTAAATGGTCTATCCTGTTCACAAAAAAAAAAAAATGTTTAATTTGGTGGAATGATAGGTCCAAAATTGTGCCATGCAGTTGTCAATTTTTCTCCAAATTAATTAACTATCTGAGGCTCCTAAAGTTGCCGGTCCATAAGTGAAGAAAAAATACGGATAACTTATAACCCTGATTTGTCAATTTGGGAAGTATATAGCGTAGTATAATATGTAGGTGTTTGTTCAATTTTAGCACATAGGATCATTATTCGCTCACCATCATTTTCTACTTTGAAAATGAGAGAGAATTTCCATTTTTTTTTTCCTTAAAAAAAATAAAAGTCTCTTGCTCTTATCCATTCTCCATTAAAGCATTGTAGTGTCAAACTATCTTTAGAAGGATATGTAGAATAATAATTTTTTACTTCATTTCTTTATTAATATTATTGAAAACTCCATAATGTTTGTTAGTGAGTGACTAATTTGGTAAAATAAATATGAATAAGCAATCAACAAAGTGGAATGGCAGAAACCAGACTACTACAAATGAAGAGATTATTTGAACTATATTTTTGAATGGGATGAATTGAACCAAAATAATTTTATCAAGATCCAAACTAAATTCATTTTCTTTTATATATATATATATATATATATATATATATAATCTCGTCGTACCACGTAATCCTTTAAATAATGTTCTGAGTGAGTTATTTAAGCTCCAAGCCTAATATTAGGAAATTATATTATACATTTTTCTTCTTTAATTGATTATGTCTAACTTTATACAATATAATGGATGACACACGTTATATTGTAACATATCCTCAATATAAAATGTAAATTCATTGAAATGCTAATTTAGAAATTTATTTGTTGAGTTGGTTTTTTGACATGTGTAACTTCAACATTCGATATTTACAACATTCTCCTTTTTTCTTTTTTCTTTTTTCCTTTTTCAAAAAGATAGGGATAGGGGACACTAGACCAGCAAGATTGTGGACTTATTAAAAAATATTCCGAACTTTTTAGCATCTAAATTCGTGTATATCGATTTTTAATATATTCAATATTTAGAAAAGAATTAGCATCATTAGCTTCAAATCTTAAAAAGAAATCGAAATATTCCTAGCTACACCATTTTATTAAATATAGCACTTCCTTTTTGATGATAAAACATATTGATCAACATCAAACAAATAGGAGATGATATTCGAAATAACTAGTTGTGCTATCTTACAAAAAAATGAGAAGCATAAAGTGGTCACTTTGTGGAAGCCTGCAGATCCTCTTTTATGTTGATTATTATTCTATGTCCAAGCGTGTACGTAATTGTTAGGGATTAAAAAAAAATGTTTATTTAAGTTTTTCCTATTTTAATATATTCAAAACTCTTTGACATAAAGCGTAAAATTACAATGAATTTAAATTTGATACACGCAATTGTTAGAGAAAAAAATTGTTTATTAAGTTTTCACTATTTTAATATATTCGACACTCTTTGACATAAAGCGTAAAATTACAATGAATTTAAATGTGAAAACAATTATCAAATATACAAACTTAAGTTATTTTTCTTAACAAAGTTAACATTTTAAAAAGCATTTTCAAATTTCGAATTCAAAAAGCTTGAAATAGCATTTCAATTCATTTAAAATATAAAAAGGCAATTGGGTTGCAAGTTAAAGGTCTTGCCATGACACGTTAAAGGTTAAATTCTACCTATTAAATGTAAAAATCAAAATCAGCATACAAAGATTTGAGTACACGTTTTAACAAAACTGACTTTTCAAATGGAACATCAATTCTCAATTCCTCCACGTGATACCATATTAATTCAAATCTTGTATTTACTTTTAAATTGTTAGAAATTTTATTTATTAATACTCGTGTATGAAGAATTTAAAAAATAATTAAGATCTTTGATTGACATGGAAAATATCACATAGAAAACAAAATATTTTCCATCTTTTGTGGAAAATAAAAACCATCTCTACTCAAGGAAAATTAGGCATATTTTCAAAAGTTGGAAAATGTTTTCCATGGAAAAAAAATAGCAATCAAACACTCAAAGTAGGAATTTAGGTGGAAAACTGATATTTTTCATGAAAAATAAATGTAATCAAACACATCCTTAATTGAATTGATACCGTTCTACGCTATTGAAAAAGCTATCCAACAAATGAATATTAAAAAACCCTTATCAGTTGTTGAAATTCTTATGTTGATCGCAGCAGTAGTCGACAAGAAGAATAATTACAAACCAAAAATTACATCGAGGATGCCCACGTGATTGATGCATAACTATTTTTTTTTTTACGCCATTGATTGAGATTCAACAATATAATTATGACCACATCATTAACTTCCACAATTATTTTTTGATTTCTAAAACTTAATAATAATATCTATTCTTCATTGTCAGATAGGTTAATTAATATCCGATATCTATGGATATAGCATAGACAAAAGAATAATGTTATTCATAATGAAAACTATCGATAGTCGCCCTACGAAACCTATCCCAAAAAGCCCTATCAATATTGGATAAAAATATCTAAAATGACATTTTACTTTTTATTGTATATGCAATCTAAAATTACGAGTAATGATATTTGTTATCTTTTTTCTTCATTTCATGTCATTTATCTGTAAATCATTAGATACACGATGATGTACAAATAACGCCATTCAATTCTGAGTGCGTTCTTTGGGGCTAAGCATTTGAGTGATGTATTCCAATTTCATAAATTAGCAGTTACTTTTCTTTTAACAAATTTGTTCGAAAGTTATGAAAGAAGTTTACACTAGACAACCCTATATTTTCTTATACTCGTGTGTAGTTCTTATTTTTTATTTCACTAATATCTCATATTATTATTCATGTCGAACGATTTAAAATCTATTTAGGTTCCGTTTGATAGTCATTTTTTTAAAAATGCATTTTTCTTTCTTCTTTTCAACCACACATTATTTATTAAATTAATATTACACGTAAATAAAAAAAACTTTTCCTTATTTCTCAACCACACATTTCACGTCAATTTACTATTCTAAAATACATTTTTACATAAAAATACCTATCAAACACCCCCTTAGTATCAATTCGTATTTAAGTACCTAAATATGTACAATATTATTAATTTACAATATCGGTTGTCATATGTCAAGAACGATGACAATGTTTGCCTAGGTCGCCGGCAGCCTATCGTTTGTTCCGTGGCCAACAAACTCAGGGTCGGGACAAAATATTCAAGCTGGAAACTGCTTACGTGGCATTATATTGGGCCCAGGTGTCAACCCATTAAAAACATGATGACGTCCAGTGGGTCCCAATGTTCCCCTGCCATTGCATATAATTCCTATTCCAATAGTATTTTATGTCTACACAAACCAATGCTCCGTCGAAGTCCGTCCAAAGTTGTTAGAAATCAAATATTGGTCCCTCTTCCCACCTGACGTGGCAAAACATTTCCGAAACCCTCTTTTTCACTATATAAATCCATGTTCATTCACTAATTGCTCCACCAAAAGAATACAATTCCTTCTTCAAATAATTTTCAGATTTTTCGTTTTCGATCAGATATAATGGCTGTTGAATCCGATGTCTCGACCCCCGTGGCTGCCTCGACTCCGGTGGCCAATCTGGAAATCGAAAAACATGCTAAGGCTCTTCAGTTTATTGAAGATATGACCAAGAATTGTGATGCAGTCCAAGAGAGGGTTATTGGTGAAATTCTGGGCAGAAATGCTAATACTGAGTATCTGCAGAGATTTCAACTTAATGGTGCTACGGACCGCGATGCTTACAAGGCTAAGGTTCCTATCGTTACGTACGAGGATCTTCAGCCGGAGATCCAACGTATTGCCAACGGTGACCGCTCTCCTATCCTTTCGTCCCACCCCGTCTCTGAATTTCTTACTAGGTAACTATTATAGAATTTATCTTTCAATTATGCATTCAATCATAGTAACTAGTGTAGAATTTTTACTTAGCTTTTTTAAAATTGTGACAAGGTTAAGATGGTGGAACTCTTTTAGATTATTACTTTAAAATTTCATGTTTTGTGCTTCATAAAAATCTGATTTACATAATGAATAATAGTTTGTCTCTTTGTTGAGATAGTGAAGACACACAGAACGGATCCACGTAATTAATATTGCTGAATTTTATTCATTTAAGTGGAAGTCTTTTGAGTTTTGACATTTTATTCACTTTGTCTCTGAAAACAAGAAATCCATGTCTTCTAAGTAAGAATCTGATAGTTTCTATCGGTATTGGAAAAAGATAAAATGCTATATCTCAGATTCTCAGCTATATTTTCTGCTTTAAAAGGTGAAGGAATATGTTTAAAGCCTAAATACTTTTGAAAGTGGATTAATAGTGATTAGAAAAATTGTAGTTCTGGGACGTCGGCCGGAGAAAGAAAGCTTATGCCAACGATTGCTGAAGAGATGGACCGCAGACAGCTGTTATACAGCCTTCTCATGCCCGTGATGAACCTGTGAGTAACCTCGTTTTTAACTCATATCTTATTGCTTCATCGGAATATATTCATTATGTTTCTTGCAATAAAACTTATTAACTCTTGAAATATAAACAGCTATGTGCCAGGACTAGACAAAGGGAAGGGCCTTTACTTTCTTTTTATTAAGGCTGAAACCAAGACTCCAGGTGGGCTAGCGGCACGTCCAGTCCTCACAAGTTACTACAAAAGTGAACAGTTCAAGAAGAGGCCACATGATCCTTTCTTGGTGTACACTAGCCCTAATGAGGCCATTCTTTGCGCTGATTCATTCCAAAGCATGTATACACAAATGTTATGTGGCCTAATCATGCGCGAAGAGGTTCTCAGAGTCGGGGCAGTTTTCGCCTCCGGCCTACTCCGGGCCATCAAATTCCTTCAACTGAACTGGAAGCAACTTGCTGATGATATCTCCTCTGGGATATTAAGCCCTAGAATTACAGACCCTTCTATAAAGGAATGCATGTCCAAAATTCTCAAACCTAACCCCGAACTTTCTCAGTTTATTACTAAGGAGTGTGAAGGTGAGAATTGGGCCAGCATCATCCCAAGAATTTGGCCAAACACAAAGTACCTTGATGTGATTGTTACTGGTGCAATGGCTCAATATATTCCCACCCTTGATCATTACAGTGGTGGGCTACCACTTCCCTGTACCATGTATGCCTCATCTGAGTGTTATTTTGGGCTCAATTTAAAGCCAATGACCAAGCCTTCTGAAACATGTTACACCATCATGCCTAATATGGGATACTTTGAGTTCATTCCACATGACCCAGTCAATCCCACGCCACTGTCACGTGACTCTCCGCCCCGTCTCGTTGATCTGGCTGACCTGGAGGTTGGAAAAGAATACGAGCTTGTGATCAGCACGTACTCAGGATTGTGTCGTTACAGAGTTGGTGACATTCTCTTGGTCACGGGGTTCTACAACTCGGCACCCCAGTTCAAGTTCATAAGGAGAAAGAATGTTCTCTTAAGCATTGACTCGGACAAGACAGATGAGTCAGAATTGCAAAAGGCCATTGAAAATGCTTCTGAGCTACTAAATGAATTCGATACTAGAGTAGTCGAGTACACTAGTCATGGCGACACTAAGACAATCCCAGGACATTATGTTATTTACTGGGAATTGCATGTAAAAGATCCAGAAAATTCCCCAACTCATGAGGTCTTGAACAAATGCTGCTTGGTTATGGAAGAGTCAATGAATTCGGTCTACAGGCAAGGTCGAGTAGCGGACAACTCAATCGGACCACTCGAGATAAGGGTGGTGAAAAATGGCACATTTGAAGAGCTCATGGACTATGCAATTTCAAGGGGTGCTTCAATTAATCAATATAAGCCTCCAAGATGTGTCAATTTCGCACCCATTCTTGAACTGTTAGATGCCAGGATGGTCTCGGCTCATTTTAGTCCCTCTGCCCCACACTGGACCCCAGAACGACGAGGTTGACCTAGTAGGTAACGGCCCTCAGATCAATATAGAAATTTCATCAGAACAATCTGGCTAGTTACCAACAAACATGCCTCTAAGTCTATGGACCAAAAAGAAAGAATCTCTCTCTCTCTCTCTCTCTCTCTCTCTCTCTCTCTATATATATATATATATATATATATATATATTATGTTGGATGTTGATGTGATCTAAGCTTTAGAAAGTGTATTGCTTTTAGCATATGTATCTTGAGCTTTGCAGGGTGTGTGTGGTCTTAGTCTTGTATTGATTTTGTGTGTAGGTTCAAATAATCTGTACGCATGATGTAATTGCTTTGATGATGTTCTTTCCTAAAGTTGAACAAAAGCAGTCCAAAGTATAACTTTAGTGTGTGAATATATCTTGTTTGTCTCATCATCAATCTATATCAATCTACATGTCATAAAGTAATTTATTGTGAAAATTTCTTGGACTTGTATATGCATAGATTTTAATGCACATATTATTTGCTACTTGAATTCTTTTTTCTAGGGTTCCTGTATGATCACTCTACTCTTCTAGGATATGAATGATTCAAACGCTCAAAAGTATATTAAGCCCTTATTTGGTAAAAATTAAAATCAGATTCTTAGTAGAGTTTGATAAAAATTGAAGAAATGTGTGGTTGAAAAGTTGTGGATTTTATGAAATGTATGATTAAAATTAATTGTTGACTTTGACTTAATTTTAATCAAAATTTTTAATAGTACCAAACGGGGCTAAAAATATTTTTTTGCTTTCAATTGGAATTTATGTCTTAATTCATTTATCAACACACATTTTAGGTTTATTTTTTTTTTCAAAGACATGACATGTGGAATTTCATGAATAACCTATGTGAAAGAAAACAAAATTTAAAATGGTTCATTTTCTATATGAGAGTTACGGTAAGGTTTCACTATAATGGAGAAAAAATAAAAGAGGATTCCATAAGTTTGTGACCTTTCATGCCTTTCTTTTTCTCTAGAAAGAAAATGACTCGTCCTACTAATCTTCTATACAAAAAGAGGGAAGAAATATTGAAAGGACCGAATACATTTAAAAACTTCCAAGAGATTTTTATTATTACATTGTGTCCATGTTTAGTGGGGATTAAAATTATATTTTTAGTAGATTTTAATAAAAATTGATAAAATGTGTGGTTAAAAAATTGTGAATCCCATAAAATATGTGATTAAAATTAGTTATTGACTTTGATTTAAATCCCTACCAAACAGGGGCAATAATTAAGATCCATCTAACTTGGAATATTTATGATTAGATGCCAATGAGATTTGGACTCAAATTATTTTATATTTTTTAATACAAATAAATTTCTGTTTAACATTGGAAGCACATAATAAGGTTTTTAGCTAGTGGATTCCACATGGATTTCAGATTTTTTTATTTTTTAATATTTTTGGGAGGGAAAGGACAAAAGTATGTTATTCAGTTATGATAACTTAATACTTGCGTTGCTAAACACATTATTAATAACTTATGTAAGTTTTCATTGGATTGAATAATTTACTTTTCTGTGCTTTCCTTTCTGTTTTTGGCAGCATGTCATAAGACTGTTAGTCTGTGGATGTCTCTGGATGTGTTAGTTCCTTACAGAACAAGATGCTCTTGCAGTCTGGCTGCTTTAATCAGACCAACGTTGGGTGCAAAAGCCTCCCGACATTGTCATATACCTTATTGCGACAAATAAATATTTTAATTCCTCGAGATAAGACTCTTAGATATCTCTTGGTGTATGATTACAGAATACATCCTAATTTGTTTTACACGATATTATTAGAAGGTGACGATGAAAGAAGTCCACGAGATATAGCTAAAGGGTAAATTCCTTCTTGAGGTAGTTAACCTTTCAGTGGTTGTCTCCCTGATAAAGAAAGAAGCTTTTTACGATGGCAGTGGCTCTTTCTACTAGGATAGGTAACTACTTTAGCACTAGTTCGAAATGGAATAAGCTCTTTTTATCTTGAAAAGTTGAAACTTATTTCGATGTAATCACATGTTTTAACTTATCAAATGTTTGCTGCCACACATAGGTAAGTTGCCCTTTTACAAAAATAAAAAATAAAAAATGTTGAATCCCAATCTTGAGGGCCCCGACCGGCTCACCCCTAGAGTTTTGTGAGGAAGGTAAATAACGGATGTGCCCCAGCAGACCATGGGACAAGAGTTGTTTATACACTGTACCTACAAGGAGTCCAATTTCATGTTTCTGAAATCAAATCTCCACATTGCGGCTGCTAACAAGGCTAAAGATAACTTCACTCGAGTCCTTTGCACCACTGGGCTATGCCTCGGGGGCACCCTTTTACAATATTTGATGCACTAGTGAGTGTTGATGATAGAAATTAGATCAACAAATCCTATTCACCTAACTATGACTTTCACTTTTTGAACTCACTAGTTTTGATGTTCAAATTAAAGCAAAAAGAGTACTAATTTGAGAGAGACATTCGAATTGCATGTGCTCTTCTTCAAAAGAGGGTGTATTTATAATTTTTTTTTACTAAGCGTTTGGGGCAATTTGGTCATCTTTAGAAAATTCCAGGTTACGACTCTTTATTAGCTCTCCTATAACTGATTTAGTTAGGAATCACGCTTTATTCATTTGTTCACGTGCCCTTTATTAATAACCTATAGTGAGCCTAAATATGGAATATGATTTGTAATCTTTAAGTGAGCCTCCTGTTTCTTCATCTCCCTCACGTATTGCTTACACTTCACTGATGGCTAGCTGGGTTCGTAGACTTCATTTTGAGGGCTAATAAATAGTCTCTCTAAGTTTGATTCCATTATCTATACTAGTTTTTGTCACGTGCATTGCACGTGTTTTGTATTTATTGTGTTTTCATTAGCTTACAAACTGTAAATTTCTCTGTTAAAGATCAAAATTGTGACTTTTGTAACTATAGGATTATGGTGTTGAATAAAATAGTTTCTTAAATAGTATATTAAACAGCAAATTGGTTCAATAATTTATTCAACAACATAGAACTGAACATTCATACCTAGAAAATTAATAGTTTCTTAAGAATGAAAAGCAAACTTTTTAAAAGAATAAAAAAAATTCACAGAAATACTCAATTACAATCAACAAAATCAAATAATAATCAAATCGGTTATATAATTTAAAATAAGTCAATAACATTGAAGAAAACAATAATGTCAATAACATGAAAACTTAAATAGTTAAAATTTAAAAGTTTCAACTTTAACATCATATAATGAAGGCAATTTTTGGTATAGACTTCTTTGGTTTGCATGGCTCCAATGGCTTACCACATAGGTTGATATTTCCTGGTCCAATTCCAATACAAAAAATTATTAGAAACACAGAGTAGGGAGAAAAATACTTCCTGTTCCACAACCACCTCATCTCAATGCTAAGGCACGAAATGTTCTTATTTTTCTTAAACTGGATTTGAGTTTATATATAAGTAATTATTAAGAAACAGAAAAATTAAGGAGAAATTATCCAAAAAAAAAAAAAAAAGAAAAGAAAAGAAAGAAAGAAAAAAAGAAAAAGAAAATGATGCATGCACCATTAGTAATTAATTAAAGGAGAAAAGAGGGTTTTAATTTTGGTATAATTAAGAAAGTGGCTGTCAACTTTTTGAGTTTTGCATTAGTTGCCACCTAGTAAACAACGTGCCTGCCACTTATAGATAATTTCTATAATGACATATATATCTAGATTTTGGATATATATAATCTATTATTTTATATTGTTATACTTGTTTCCTTCTTTTATTTACGAGTTTATTTAATTTTTACATAAAATGGATTGTGAAATATGCATATTTTTCATGAACTAATTATCTTCACTGTTTTTTTAGATAAATAACAATTCTATTTTTCTTGGATTTTGAACGAGAACATAAAAGTTTTCAAAATCTTTCACTTCAGCGACATAAATTCCAAGACACGAATTATTAAAAACAAAAAAAAAAAAAAAAAAGATTGAACTCAACCTAGACAACAATGGAAACTGTTGAAGATATAGCTATGAGAATTCAAGTTGATCACGACTTACCCGAAAACGAGCTTGCACTCTGGCTACTAAGTGTAGATGGTATTGGACCTTCAAGCTTATTATTAGCAAAATTAACAATCAAATTCTTCTGCCAAAGGTCTGGTATTCTTCCTTCAATCTGGTTATTTTGAAGCTGCAAATTTACGAGCCTCGGCAATTCCAGTAAAGACATAGGAATTTTACCAACATGTTCATTGAATCCCAACACAACTTTCCTCATAGACTTCATCCCTGAAAAAGCATCATCTGGAATATCACCATTGAATCTGTTATTAGCCAAATACAAACTTTTAACTTCCCAAGTTTCTTTAAATCATTATAAGGAAATGGCCCTGAAAAGTTATAGTTCATCAAACTCAAACTCAGCAATGGCAAATCTGCGAGTGAATCAACGTCGATTGTACCCTTTAGCCCCATGCTTTCAAGGTTTATACCTGTAAATGTACCATTATCACAAACTAAACCTGTCCAGATAGGTTTGTAGCCACTGCACAAGTTTTCCACTGGTTCAATCCAGCTATTCTGCATGGTTGTGTTGGAGATAGAGCTCTTGAACTTTATGAGGATTTTAGCATAGGTTTCATCATCAGATAATGCTGTAATGGCGCAGAGTAACAAGGCAAAGAACACAAAAAATGATTTTCGCAAAGTATAAGCCATGATAGGGAGGTTTCTTGGAGGATCCTAAGCTTGTTTTTGATGATTTAAAGCAATGTTAATGGAGAGCAGAGATGGAAAATGAGAGTGGAAAAAGAGGGTTGTGAAAATTGCATGATTCTGCAGGGTAGTAATACCAAAGAGTAGAAGACATGGAGTGGTGAACTTGACAAAGTACCTAAGCTGGATTAGCTGTTATTCGCCGGCAGAATTTCTTAGTGTGAATATGTATATTGTTGGACACATGAGAATAAATAAGTTTGTCCTCTCTAGTATTTAAATGAGTCAATTCAATGTGGTATCACAGCAATCTTAAACATTGAAATTAAGTCTCGTGGGCAATTGTTTATGAAAATCGTATATTATTATTCATAGGTTATTCACATGACACAATGTTTTGAAAAGAAACATTAAACACTTGTTTGGTGTAAATTAGATTAATCTGCTTAAAATCTCAAGTCAAAGTCAACAATTAATGTTAATTACACATTTCATTCCACTGTAACTTTTTATGAAAATCGTATATTATTATTCATAGGTTATTCACATGACACAATGTTTTGAAAAGAAACATTAAACACTTGTTTGGTGTATCACATCAACTACACATTTCATCAATTTTTATCAAAATCTATTAAAAATCTCCTCTTAATCTCCACAAATTAAAAAGGGACTAAATAAATAAATTTTGTTTCTCTCTACCAGCGTAAGCTTTTAGACGATGTGATTCTTATTTGTTATCGGAATAGTTAAAAGGAATAGCATATTAAAGCTTCTGTGTTGGTTAACGAACTTGTTATAACACTCTCAATATGGAAGTGAGTCAATGACAGCAACTATAGTGAATGGGCAAGGTTCAAACAAGGAAAGAAAAGGGGAGGAAAAAATTCGTATCAGGGGAATAGTAGGAGACAGACCCGTTGAGCTTTTGTAATTTGAAATTAAAATGAGAAAACTTAGAATTTTTGCTTAATTTTTTTATCTCTGAGATAAAAATATCTCACAAGCCAATCAAAACTGCCTCTTGTGCTCTTATATAATCTTTGGCCTCTGTTTCTCGACTTTACAGATCTTTCTGACAACCAATTCTTTTTCTTGGTACCCTACTGAGGGCTCATCTGATCCTTCTAAGGAGTTTGAATTCTAGAGAAGTCCAGTAAGTCGGCCTTATCCAGGCTCTTTCTTTCACCTAAAAGTATTTGTAATAGTTTTAAATCATAAATAAAGAAAAATGGGTAAGAGATAAATGAATATTTCTTGTGTATCTCTTGAACCGTGTGAATAAAATGAATTTCATCGTTTAAACATTGCGAAACATAGATTTAGACGCCACATATTTATGAAAATTGTGTTTTACTTTCTCATCACGCAATGTATCGTAAACAAACATTAAATAATAAAGCATGTCTTCTCTACCTTAAATCCTTAAATTATGGGATGGTTCAAGAATATAAATATAGAAATATATGTATGTATAAAAGATAGTTTAGGGAGTTTATGAGTCAAACTTAGTTGGGTGTTAATAACTAGAACCTAATCTTTGACACTTTCTCTTGTTTTTGTACGAATGTTATCTTTATTTAATTCATTAGTTGGCAACTTTGTTGCAATTGTAACTATCTCAAGCATTTGCATTAATTCGAATATATATAACATTAGAAGTTAAAAAAGAACCTATGTTTTTGGTTGTTTCTGTCGATGATATCAATTTTGCAGAGTTATTAATATTTTGACAAAATCCATCTATGATTTTGTGTCAATGCTGGAACATATGAATGGACCTATATTGGCCCAGTCCATTACTGCGGTATGAAATGACCAGCCTTTTCCATGTTCAGTGTTATGGTTTCCGGTGGAGAGCATTGTGTTACATCAATGTTCATAATTATATTAAGCTTTTGTACCTAAACTATGGATGAAGGGGGATTTATTTGGGTCCAAATTGATGAATTGGAATGGGAAGTAAATTTAACCCATGTGTATATGCATGGATCCCGAATTAATAAACTGAGGCCAGAATTCTCTAACCATGCACTTGCGGTAACTTTTGATTGAACAATAATTTCGTGAACTTGTTTCTTCTTTAAAGGCTTGTCAATCATATGAACTCTTTACCCAAAATCCTAAGTCATAGAGAGGAGGCAAATATCGTTTTAGGATATGTCAAGTAATCATTGGAAGAGAAAAAAGTGATTAAGAATAAAAGATTAAATAGTCAAACATTGACTTCATCATTTTCATCTATAAGCCTTAATTCTTGATAACTTCCACAATCACTTGAACCACCAAAAGAAATATTACCATGAGGAAGCCAAGGGTGAGCCGCTCATATTCAGCAAGTTTATACATTCATTATTAACGTAAAAATAATTTTACTGAGTATTGATAAAATATTTAGCAGTAATGTAAAAATAGTATTATTATTAGCATGCTAAAGGTGTCACAGTTGCTGCCTATGGTGAAGCCAAGTATGGTTCCTGGGGCGTTTTTCTCCAACTGGGTGCGATTCTTTTCGAGGCTACAAGGTTGGTTATGATTAAGATTTTATTGACTTTAAAGGGGGTCAATTTTAACCCAATTACTTCACCTTACTACGTTGCTCCTAGTTGCTTGGCCTTTCTTTCCATTCCATGGATTATAGTGGAGTACCTTGTACTGAAGCACAAGTTGGGCTTTCATTTTGATTTCGTTATTTTTGGGACCAATTCACTGTGTACTTTTGGGTTGAACTTGGCTGTATTCTTGTTAGTTGAAAAGACTTCGGCCTTGACCATGAATGTGGCTGGGGTGAAGGATTGGCTGGTGATCACTTTTTTCATGGTCCTTCATTAAGGATACAGTGATGCCTATCAACTTGTTTGGGTACGGGTTGGCATTTTTAGGCATTGCCTATTATAATTACTCCAAATTACAATCTTTGAAGGCAATGGAGATGTAGAAGAAGGCACAGGCAGCAGATGAGGAGGCTGGAAAATTGTTGGAAGAATGAGAAGAAGATGGAATGGAGAAGAAGGAATATGCATCGGTGTAATTGGAAAATTATTGAGTTAGGGAGGACACCATGGAGTGCACGCTTTTCGATTTTTTTCTTTTTTCTATTTTTATAGTAAGTTTTGTTTTGGCTATATCTCGATAAACTTAAATCGGATTTGAATTCTGTTTCTTAGAGAATAATCCTAAAGATTAGACTCTAGAGTTTAGTCATCATCTTGATTCTTTCCATTTTTGGAAAAAAACCATCTCATACATTAAGATAATGAGTGAATACTTTATATATGAACAGTGAAGGTGTACTATAAATTCAGGGTAAAAAGGGATAAAAAAAAAAAAGGAAATGTCACTGTATCAATTACAAGACAACACGACGTCATTTTTACTCCATGATGGAAAAAAAATGCTACAGTGTGATAAAATGGAAGAATTTGCTGTTGCTAACTACAGTAATTTTCCATTCTCATTTTTATATAGTAAGAATTAAATTTAGGATTTTAATTGTTTGTTAATTCGAAGTCACGAACTTCCTTGACGAATTGGCTTTTATTTATTTGCTTTGTAATTAATGCTTGCGCCAGATACAATGTTGTTATATCTTCTAATATCGATTTACTTGTGGTTCCAAGTTCTGACTTTTTCTATTTCTTTTGTACATTACATGCTTGTTTTTGATTGTTCATCCGTATCTTTCCTATTCAACGATTCAAATTACGAGACGTTCCGAACGAAAAAGTCCTTTCAGATCTCACCTCTATGAAATGCTTTTCCTAGCACTATATATATGCATAGTGTTGCTATCTATCTTCATTTTTCTTAATCATCTAGATGTATTTTGCCATCTTTTTTACTATCTATCTCCAGGGAAAGTCTTTTATCCCCATTAGACCTCGTTTCCATGTCATCATTATTCCTTCATCTTCTTTCCTGATTCCACTATATTTTCGTGATAAATCACTTTTGGGACATAGAACACTGCATTATGCAACGAGGTATAGCTTTAGAATTTTCCTAATGATTTTATCTACCATGCTACAATCATGTGTCTACGATTTTGATTTTGTTGCGTATGTTCAAAACTTGATAGAGAATGGTTTGGAGGCTGTCATACCTGCCATGCTCTTGGATCTTCCTCATATATGTATCTGTGGGAGATCACCATGCTAGACATAGTTTAAGATATTATGATAAACCCTCATACATTTCCTTCCAACAAATGCCTAATCAACTTTTAGAGGCTTCCTTTGAGCAAAGGGATTGAATTTATTCTCCATCTCTTCCTTATCTTTTGATTTCAGGAATCTTTGTAGGAACAATGGGTATGAAGGGTGACTTAATTGTGGAATATGCCTTTACTTCGCATAATGTGCCTTTTGACTATGTGATAGATATAGTTCATGAGTATTACTAGCCTTGTGACTTTCCTTTTTGTTAATGAGAATTTTTACTTTATCATACTTCTTGCTTCACAAATATTGTTTAATTTTATTTTTTGCATAGTAAATAACTAACCAACCTAGTTGGCTTCGCACAATAGGAATTCATAAATGAACTTTCATGAATAATATTAAGCCTATGTTTGACCCCTATTTCTTCAAAAACTCATTAAAATATATTTTGAACCACACATTTTTCATAAAATAATATTATACGTAAATCTAAAATTTTTACTTATTATATAATCACGCATTCTCCAAAAAATCACTATTCTAAAATTCATTTTCCCTACAATTTCCATTAAATGGAGCCCCAAAAAAAAAGGCTAACTTTACTGAGGTCTCATGACAAGAATTGATTTTGACTTTATTGATAGTACTTCATTAGATACATGCCATTGCAAGCATATTTTACAGGTTCGCCATCCTTTCTTGCAAGTTTCTATGTTCCCACTCCACAACTTCAATTATTGTATATGGTCCATCCCTTTCTGGCCAAGCGAGCTCGAACTCATTTCTTTGTCGGAGATAAATATTTTATTTAGGACTAGGTCCCATATTTTAAAGATTTTCTTG